ATCAGAACTCACAAATGTCACATAATTCCCAAAGACAATGCTGTATTTCTGACCATAAGGTGCCAGAACGATCAGTTGAAAACAGGAAATTCCAGTCGATAATTGGCTATTCAATAACAGCTACTGTTCAAATATAACCTACATCACTATGAAATTTCTCTCCCTGAGTGAACGAGCTGCCCTCATGAGCACCCTGAAAACAGGACTCGAGCCAAAGTGAGGCCCTCACTGGGAAGAAACTTCTTGGGATGGCCTCTGCCAGGCAACAAATAGGACTGTGTGGGGCAGAGCTATGTTCATGTAAGTGAAGACACCATTCACCCTTTCATCTTGTTAACAGCCTCAAACAGAATTCTAGAGACATGGTGTCTAAAGAGCCAGTCACAGTACCTGGCATGTGTTGGATATCCAACAGATGTTAATTTCTTTCATCTCCACTCACTCCATTCCCAACTACTGCCCTACCCCCTCACCACCAACTGAAAACCAGTATCTTCAAGGTTTCTTAACTTTAGCCCCCTACAGTTTGATATACTAATGAAGAAGCAGGCTAACTTGATAAGCTGGTCCAAGGCTTTCTTGGGCCCAAGTCTTTAAATGCTGGGAGAAGAACGGCACTGTCAGCCTTCTGCACAGGTGTTGATTGGGCATGGGATGATTTGAGAGCTGGTCACCAGGCAGGACTACCTGACCCAAACTGTCACCCTCACTGCCAGGCTTGGTGCCCAAAATTGTTCGCTTAGATATTCCTTAGGGTCTATAATATTATTCCAGTTTTCAGGACACCCATTTAAAAATAGCCCTGAGTTCTATCAACTCCACCTTTAAAGCATAGCTTGAAACTCTCAACTTCTCTCAATTTCCACTGTTCCTACCCTAATCCAAGCACCACTACCAACTCTTGCCTCAACTACAGAAATAGCCTCCTAATTAGTCTCACTTTTTCTCCCCTCTCTACAAGCCATTCACCACATAGGAGTCAAGGCATGACTCACTAAGTCGCTCGTGTAAAGGCTTCCAATAGCTTCCTATTGCACTTTATCATGGGCTACAAAGCCCCTTAGAAGATCCAGCCCCACTTATCTCTCTGATTTCATCTCCTACCACTCTGCCCTCCCTCGCTCTGCTCCAGCCACACTGCCCTTTCTCCTACTCAAATGTGATGGCAAGCTCCTCTTTCTCCCTATCTAACGTTGTGCCTCCCATACACATTCCCACTCTCTTCTCACGACATCCTATTTTACTTCCCCATAGTACTTATCACTGTTTAAAATAATCATTTGCTTATATTCTGTCCCCATCACACAAATGTACACACACGTGCACATGCTCCAGATTGTGAGCCATATGAGGGTGGAAACCCTGCACATCTTGTTCACTGTTAAATCTGCAGGGTCCAGAACAGTGCCTGGCACACAGCAGGTGCTCAGAAAGTAATTGTTGGACAAGTAAGTGTATCACCCAGTTTGGTGGCCCTTTCTTGGTCTTCAGATTGACCTTTACGGTTTACTTGACACTTCTCCTTAAATAGCTCCTCTCCTTTGACCTAAGTGACACTGTATTTTATCAATTCCAATATCTTTCCAGCCACTGGTTCCTCCCCTCCCTTCTACTGTTACCCCCTGAAATGTAGTCTTCCTCAGGCTTCTTTCTTTAGCCTTCTTTTCTCTCTGCACTCTCCCTCAGAGTCTCATCTATTCTCAGTTTCAACTGACACCTCTGAAGAGAGTCCCTGAATTCATATTCCCCATTGCTCTCTATCTACCTTGAGAGAGTTTCTAATTGAACATGCCCATTATTAAAATGCCTTCTCATCCCCTATAAAACACCCTTCAAATTGACAGACTTCTCAATCTCTATAGAATGATTCCATCATTTTCCTAGTCATATTTGATCCCTCCTTTTCCCTGTCTCTTATCCAGCCCCCATATCCAGTTGGTAAATAAACTCTCTCCTTTATTCCTTTGCAAAATCTCAAATTCCATCCTACACTCTCCAAGCCTTTTGCCACTACCATAGTGATGGGTCTGAACTTAAATAGCCTCTCATTCTACTTCATGGAGAATCAGAACAGGAGGAGAGCTACAGGACCATCTAGCTCAGTGCCCACACTTTATAGATAAGGAAAAGGGGGGCCAGCCTGATTAACTTCTACAAAGGGTTCCTGGACACAATTCCAGAGTTTCTGAGAATTCAGCTCAATTCTGACACTATCTACCCAGAAATAGAATCAGATTCCACGGGTACAGGGCTCAGTCCCAAAAGACTGCCCTCCACTACAGATGCAAGTTGCAAGCCCAGGTTGTTACCTGTGCTTCTGACCAATCAGCTACAAACTGGAGGTTCCAACAGCCCCCTCCAGCTCAGGATGCCAATTACAAGTCCAGGTTGTTACCTGGACTTCTGACCGGCTGGCTATAAATGAGGTTCCCATGACCCCCTCCTTGGGTTCAATTAATTTGCTAGAATGGCTCACAGAACACAAGAAAATCTGTTTACTCACTAGGTTATCAATTTATTACAAAGGATATTAAAGGATATGAATCAATAGCCAGATGAAGAGATACATAGGGCGAAGTCCTTAGCAAAGGAGCTTCTGTTCTTGTGAAGCTTGGGATACGGCACGGTGGCACATGGAAGTGTTCTGGTTCCCCAACATGGAAGCTCTCCAAAAAAGGGCTGGGTTCTTACAGAGGCTTCATTGCATAGTCATGATTGACTAAGTCATTGGCCATTGGCAATTGATTCAACCTCAAGCCCCTCTCCCTTCCCCAGAAATCATGGGGTGGGACTGAAATTCAGTTCCAATCCTCTGATCACAGGGCTGGTTCTTCCGGCAACCAGCCCCACTTTTGAGTGGGGTCCAAAAGTGACCTTCATTAACATAAACAAGACACCCATTTCACCTTTATGGTCCTGAAGCCTTTTCAAAAACTGAGGACGAGAGACCAAATATTTAACAAAGGATGCTTCCACTGCTCTTATGCTCAGGAAACTACAAGAGTTTTGGGAACTGTGAGCCAGGAACTGTGGATGAAGACCAAATATGTCTGAGAAATATATATTCTCATTTGCTCTTCATCCAGAAGTCCAAAATATGTTTCTCATTATCGCAACTACCTTGGTTACCATGGCCCTAGATGATGAGTGTTGACCACAGTGCCAAAACTAGAGCTCAGTCTCCAGGGTGGCCCTCTCTCTCTAATCTGTGGGAAATGTGGCCTCTTCATTCCCCAAGGAGAAAGGAAGAAGTGAGAAGGTCCCGAAAGAAGAGCACCAAGAGAGAATATGATAAAGGGCATTGAAGATACACACTTTGTTGTTGTCGCAATTTCACTTCATGCTGGCCCTCATGTCTTGAATGAGTCCTTGAAGTTGATAATGAAAACATTTTCATTCCTCATGTGTACATGCAGTTGTTACTATTGGTTTGCTTCCTGGGGAGGCCAGACGTTGTCAAGGCACTGATTTGATTTTCACCTACATAGTGCAAACAAACTTTTCATTGAGTTATTAGTTCAGGAATCATATACCATTGTGACATTAAATAGTAAAGTCAGGCTTATCTCTTTCTTTAAGGAAAGCCATATTCTAAATCCTAGACATGATTAAGGGGAAAAATAAACTTGGAATGCATCAATAAATAACAGCAGACTTCTTTCTAAAATCTATTTCAGAGACTTTCCATCCTGTTTGGGATAACATAATCATCTAGACCCTCTCAAACTCTGCATTTGGTAGGATGAAGTATGGTCGGCTATCAACACTGCTTTCCTCTACAGTCAGTAATGCTGTTAAGGAGCCTACTTAAATAAGTTCTGTAGCCAGCACTCTGACATTGCAGAGAAAGTAGTCTTGAGTGCGCAGAAAACCAGGTGTTCTTTTCCTTGACTCCAAGACCTTGGTGTTCAAATGATAAGTGATTGAAGATACTTCCTGAATAGTTTATAGAGTTTCATAGGAAAGACATAAATTTCATTCAGGTTTACTGTGAGAATCTTCATTGTGGAGCCATTCATGTTTTTCTCAATCGAGATACAATACTCAGGAAATTAAGGTCAGAAAGTTAAGTGTCTATGTGGTCCTGTCCCAGGGACCAAATCCATGGGTTTCTCCTAACATTCTTATACCATATAAATAAGATTAAAATGAGCATCAAGAACAGCCTTTGAAATAGAGCATGAATGTTTTTAAAATGAGAAAATTGCATTCAGAGAAGGCTAGAGATAATACTGAAGCGTGATTCAGGATTGGGGTGGGGCCATAGAAGGACAGTCTCATCCCCTGTGTTTTGGTGATGAGGTTTTAGACTCCCTATTTTATCAATGAGGCTAAGGTCTTCTCTTAACACAAGCTGAGGGCTGCCTCCTGGAGTTGATTGCCAATTGCTGCTTCAGAAGGAGTGTCTGCTTTGCCAGACACAGACCTGGGTTAAGACCAGGGTTAGGAACACAGCCACAGGCTGTACCAGAAACAGATGGACAAGAGCCCCAGCCTCAGTAACCACGCACTTACACCTTGGCTTACCATCTTTCTTCCGTGCAGTTAGCAGAGGCCAGGCTAACTGAGGCAGCCAACACATGCTGCCAGTTACCTCCAGAGCCTCTCAGAAGTCAGGAGACTTTGAGGTTCTCAGTATATGTAGAAATGAAGAAATGACTAAACAGGATTACAAAAATTTTGGTATATTTTTAATATTTACATTTAACAAATTGCTGATTTTAAAGCACACCCAAAATACTCATAAAAAATGGTAATTACAGGATTTATGAAACTCTTAAATCCTAGTGTACTATGAATGGTGTGGTCCAAATAACGGGTTGCAAGTTTAAAGTGGTCTGATGGGTACCGTCTTCTTTTGGTCCTCACAGTGTAACTCCAGACCCTCATGACTGGGAAGCCCAGGCCAGATGGCTCCCTCTGTCCCCCTGTGAAGGATACTGTTTACCTCTCCCAAATGTTCCTAATTGGAAATCTTTCCTTAACCATAAGCCTATCACACCACCTGCTCCAACTTACCGTGATATTATAAAGGAGGCAAAAAGACAATTTGCAAAGAACCAAAAGGATTTGAGGATGTAAGTTGATGCCATACTATTGTTAAATATAAAATCGTAGACTCTTTTAGAACTAGAAGTGATTGTAAAAATCATCCACACCAATCTCCATGTTTTACTGATGAGGAGAGTCGCTTCTGAGCATGTTATGGTCTTGGAGATTCATTTCAGGTAAGTGTCAAGGATGTATGTTGTAAGCACGGAGCCATGGCAAGTGTCAGGGATTGAAGGAAGGAAGGAAGCTTTGCTGTGGAGTGGTTGGGGGTGCATCCCACTATGGAGAGGCCAGGAGAGAGCTCCAGGGAATAGAAATTGAAGTATTATCCATTTACAAAGATGAGTCCTGGAAGAAGAACAGAAAGGTTGTTTGCAGTAGAAGGAGCTCCCTGGACCTGGAGTGGTAGTGAGGAAAGCAAGGCAGGGAGGTCTTTTCCAAAATGTTTTCTTGGGAAAACATTTTCAGTTGTTTGTGCTTAATTAAAATGATTACTCGTACCCAGTCATGGTATTCTCATGTGCCAGAAAGCTAGAAATGGCTTAATGAGAAGATATCCATCAATTCTTATGACAACAAATTGGTAGAGTCCAGTTCTTCTGTCCTTGATATCAAGGTCACTGCCTAGAGGCTCTATTGCTTTAAAGGGAAGACAGGATGGGTATCGTCCCCTTTGGGTACCTGATGCTGTTCAGGAAACACATCAAAGAGAGATAAATGGAAGAGCAGCCAGCTAGGTCCTATCCAGCAGGCAGAACAAAAGTTTGAGCCTCTGCTTTCCGGGGTGCCCTTTCTTTCCCACCCGCCCACGTTTCACCAATGCAAGTGTGCAAGTGCATGCATGTGCACACACACACACAGCCCTTTGATTTCCTGTGCTCAGTGGGAGGAATAGGGATGGACACCTTGTAAGAGGGCCCCTGTGGAAGCAGCAAGGTGGAGTCCAGGCCATCCTCAGGTGTCAAGGGTGATGTCTTTGGCACGTGTTCATAAGAGGGTATGTGCTGGGGGATTCCTCACACCAAGTAGTACAGAGGGAGGGGTCGTTGAAGAATTCGTTTGTAAAGGATTTTCAGTGAGATGTGGAAGTCAGCAAATTGTTTGTTTATTCTTTCCCAATTAGAAATGCCTGCTTTATTTTAAAACTTAACCACAAACTTTGATTTTATAGGGAAAAGCACAGAATTAGTGAAGAAATAAAACTCCTAAGACAGCGGCAGGAAAGAATTGACAAGGAGCTTGACAGGTTTGTTTCTTATTCAACTTTGTAGTGCTTAAAAACGTTTTAATTGAACAAATATGTTACATAAAACCACAATGGGTTTATTATGTAAAAATACATCAACTCGAATATCTGCAAAGAGGGGTTCTACTTGCCAGTTCATCTGGAGGAACACTTCAGCTTCCCTTATCCACGTAATCACCCCTGCTAATTTAATTAATTGTTAAACATTATCATCTTCGTTTACTCCACCAGACATAAGACTTAAGCTGAAGTCCTTTTAAAAATATTACTTGAATGAACAATTGGTGACAAAAATCATGATTCCTGGATTCCTGCCCTCAATGTACTTACGAAAGTCTAGTAGGCACCCTCCCCTTTGGCCTTTGCCATCTCTCTCTTTCCCCTGCCAGCCCCTTTATATTTCTCACTCCAATGACACTCCTTAAAGTCCGCGCTGGAGCCTGGGGAGGGGACTCAGTTAAAGGAAAACGGTATGACCCATCTCCCTAAAGAGGATGCTTCAGTGCTGGGATGCACTGTCGCACGGTGGTTGGAACCGAGGGCTCGAGTCACACTGCTTCGGTCTGAATCCTCTATTCATATGCTAGCTGTATGACTGTGGGCAGGTTACTTAACCTATCTGAGCCTGTTTCCTCATTTATAATGTAGGATAAGAGTTGGACCTACTTCAGGAGATTGTTGTAAGTGTAATGGAATTAATATATGTAAAGTGCTGGCAAATGCCCAGCATGTTAAACTCTTCATAACTGTTGGCTCTTAGTTGATTTCAGTATAAAAACAAATAGTTTAATTATGGATTTTCTTTATTTCATGCTTAGACTCCAAACAAAAGCTACCAAGAAACCTCATGAAGCTAAGGATGACTTTGAGAAGTTCCTACATAAAGTGGTATGCTTCTGTTTTTGAAAATAATTGAGAATTCTCTCTTTAGCTTCTCTTATACAGACTGGACAATATTTAACAAGCAATATATGGCCTCACATCCAAGTTACAGTGACAGGATAGAGTACATTCTTGTTATTTAATCATCCACATGCACATTGAGGATAATCTCTGTTTTACATATTAGTGACCGCCTCATGCCCACTTATCCCCATCCCTTGCTTCTGACCAGGGGCAGTTTATACAACCAAAAACCTCCAAATGCAGTCAGAATTTCAAAGTAATAGAAAATTATTGATGTTTTATTTTCTATTAATAATTCAGCAAAAATATATTGGATTCCTACAAATGTGTTAGATGAATGGTCCCTGCCCACAACTAACAGAAACACACGACAGAAATGATAAGACTCTAAACAGGACTCAGGTGTGAAAAAGAAAAGGCAAGCGACTGCTCCATTTTTCCCGGGTTTTTTTATCCCCTCCTCTTCTGCTCCTCCTCAACTTCTGGGCAGTCCTGTAAATCTGAAGGGCCTTCTTCCCTTCCAACAGGCTAGAACATGTAGAGAATAGTGTACAGAAATCTGGAGGTTGGACAATCTGAGGTCAGAAATAGGATGAAGCTTTTTATTGTCAGCATGTCAGCCTTCCACTCAAAAATCTAGAGCAATCCTCACTGGCTACTGGTGTTATGCCAAAAACAGAGATCAAACAATCTAATCAAATTCCTACATGAGCCAGAAAGATGATAGAAGGGAGTAAAACACCTGGGTGTTTAATATTAAATGAATAGGACTCTACTTCCACAAAAAGAATCCTTTCTCCCATTCTTCTCGTCTCTTTTTCCTACTATTTATAGAGACATGGACACAGAGAAATATTTATTTCATATAAGAAAATAACTGTACGGGTGTGCTGGTAAAGGACAAGTGACCTCGGCCAGTCGATGGTAAATGGCCTGAGTGTCAGGGAAACTACAAGGAGGTGTGGAAACTGCTGCACCCTGGACAGCCCATGCCTCCTCTGCACCAGGCAGCCCCTCCCTCCCTGCAGGAACAGAGGCCAGAGTGTTATCAGATCTTCCACCATCAGGAATCCAGATTCTTCTGTAAAACCTCCTGATTTGGACCTCAAGTTTTTAAACACTATGAGGACCAAACTAAATATACCTACAGATCAGATGAGGTCTGTGGGCTGCTGGTTTGCAACCCCTGTTTAAATGCTGCCTGGGTTTGGAGCTCTTCAAAAGCTGTCTCCAGCCAGTATAGCCAATCTTGTTCTCCACTATCTCCCAAGGCAAAGCCCTCACTCCCACTGAGCCTTCTGAACCTATCTACTTACTCATACTCATCCACTTTGCTCATCTGGACTCCTACTCCCCAGCTTCCAAATTCTACTTATCCTTCCGGGCCCCCTGCTCAAATTCCATCTTCTGTGTGAGGCTTGTTCCAGGGGCCCTAGTTCCATCCTTTCCAGACAAGTTTGATATCTCTCATAATTTCTAGAATAACACTTGGTGATGGTTTGGTTGAAAAATAGTTTTTTTCTTCAAGTCAGTTATGAAGACAAGTATGGACTTCACACTGGAAATTTTTACTCACCTATTACAAAAAAGGAATCTTGTAGTAAAAAACTTAAATAGAATAGCAAAGCCATGGCAAGTGACTTTCTGATTTTTACAGTGATCCAGGTATCTTTAAAGAATTATGTACCAACTACAAATCTTCTGTGGAAAATGGCAGGTATTAAAAAACAAACCATTATAATTTTAAATCAATTCAGAGTTTGGATTATTGGGTTGAAAAAACTCAAAATTCTTTCAACAAATTTGCCTTAAATTTTCTCAAAGGTTTACCTTTCTGCTATGAATGAAAATGTACCAGAGGTTTATTTTAGAACAGAATAATGGATTTCCTAGTACTTTACACATAACTATTGTCCTTGGAGAAATTTTACAACCAGCTTTGCCTCAGCCTCTCTGAAACTGAGAAACAAGATGATGATGTCCAATCTTTGAGTTGCACATTAATGAGCAAAAATAATCATAGAAAATTGTGATAATTTTCTGGATAATTCATGCCATAAGACCAATGCTGTCTCAGTTATCTGATTGGATCAGTCAAATGCTTTTTGGTCTGAATTTTCATGTAATTCAGGAAGGCCCTCCTGTAGTTTATCCATGGAGAAAGCCATCACTGCATGGCCAAACATTTCTTCCCACTTTTGATAATTGCTTATAGGCACCCACCAACACCACTACCCAATCCCAGAGCCCACTCCAAGCTTTCTCATACTCTTACCCACATAACTGCACACTGCCTTGTGCTGGTCCACATATACAAACAAGCCTTGCTAGACACACAACAAAGGGACGCAAGGCATAGGTGGGGTTTCCCAAAACAGTTAAGTATGCCTCTTGGATTAGAGAGGCATTTGAGAAAAGGTAGGATAGGGTAGGAAGAAACTAAATTCCATGAACAATTTGAATTATCTGAATTATCATCCAGATAATTCTCTATTTCAATGTGAATAGAGATAAAAACTTAAAGTGTCTTTCATCTAAGTTTCTCTATTAAGTGAGAGAGAGCTCAGGACCAAAAGAATTGAAAGTGATTGTTAAGTGATATAACATGGTTAAAAAAAGTTAACTGAGCTTGGGATGTTCTTCCTAAATCCATCTTTTGCCTCGCAAAATTAAGTGATCCTTCCCATCTTGATAATTGGGGGATTCTGACACTTAAGTATACGATGTCCAGGAAAATCTGTGAATCCTTAATAATGTGTTATTTTAATAGCGTCCTGAAGCTCAAATTGAGAGAGAATTTCTGGCATCACTATCATCATCATCAACAACAGAAAACTGCAACTTGGAGGAAGAGGAAAGTCAAGAAAAACCAGAAATCAACTTTATTTAAGACCATTGCTTACAATTCGATTGTATCAGTTTAATTGTAGCACTATGTTTAACTCCAGTTCAATCCATGAGGTCAGAATTGAGTGTCTTTTACCATTCATCTTTAAAAATCTTGAAATCAATAAATCTCAGAAAATCATCCTTAAGAGATGTGTCCAAGCATAATTTTAGCTGTTATTGGTAGAAAACATATTTTAATATGGAAAAATAATCATTATGATGCATAGAGGGCTTTCAACTGTTTCTTTGGAAATGTATCTTGATAATAGCAACCGTTCATCATAATACAAAACAGAAAGAGGATTAATTTACTGTGGCATAAGAAGTCCTGCCAGTTCCTAAATGCCCTAAATAGTTTCTCTGAGATTTTTTACATTGTTTAGGCCTCAAGGAAAACCAAAGCCCCACCTCCAGGTTTGGTAGCAAACAAACTCTGCTTCTCTGGCGCTAAGCTGCGGTCGCTCCTCTGGTAATAAGCTTCATGCACATTTGCTAGGAAGCTGGGCAGCTTGTCCGCAGGTACTATTGACACGGTGCAGCCTCCCCATCCTGCTCCAGTAAGTCGTGACCCTTGAGCCCCAAACTTCCTAAAACAATGAGAAAAATCAAAATTAGAATCTGTAAATGAAAATGAGAGTGATTTGCCTGGTCCTTATAGAACACGTAGCCTACCCAAGTTCTAAGAAGAGAAGATGTGTGTTTTTAGTATGCAGGGATTTTTTTGGTGTTGTCAAACATTTTAGGACGTTAAGAAATTTATACTGTTTTGGAAGGTGATTTGAAATGTAATTGTATCTAAAAGTAACCCCTGCTTTTGGCTCTAAGTAGTAAAAGTTAGCAGTACTCCTGTTTCGTGAGGGCTGGCAATAGCCCACTGTAGTCTTGATTCCATAAAGTCACCGCTTGAAGAGTTGTGTAGCAAGCCTACAGGTGATCAGGAAGAGGGAGGAAAAAGAAAACAGGCAGTGGACATGATCGACATTATGAATCAGAAGGTCGCTCCAAATGAGCGCAAATCAGAATTTAAAATGCACAGTCTTATACAGGCGAGGGCTTCCTCTGGTGGCTGTGTAAGCTGCATTCTTAGGGCATGGCTTTTTCACGTGAGAGAATCAGTCTCCGTTATAGAGAGTCTAGATTTCTGCTGAATGAATTTATCTACAAAGAACACCTTATTAAACTCTAGGTCAGTCTGTCCCTTTAAGCTCTCCTGGGAAATTATGCAGATCTTCCCACAGAGAGGATGGTGGCCTCTACAGGGCCATACCCATCTTCTCTGAGTGTGTGGGAGCTGGTCTGACAACTGGACTCAGAATTTACCATCAGACAAAACATGTCTGATCGGGATGGAAATTACCATATAAACCACCACACAGCAAGAGGTAATTTTAGTCACCATCAATCAGGCACAGTTTCAAACCTAAGATTTGTACCCGAGTGAAAGGCCCTCGTAGAATCCAAGGATCCCTCATCTTGAGAAGGTGCAATTTATCCTGACAATAAGAGTGAACATGTATTTCCAATTCTTCCTAATGAAATTTACTCCAGATTCACAGCAGATTAAAAACTCCATAATTAACTTAGCACAATTTTGTCCCTTTTTTCCATCTAAATGAGCTACTTTACTTCCTGGAAAATGTCAATAGACTATTACCCCTATTCTAGGACATCAGAATTATTGCACACCAGTAATTCATTTTCCCTTCAACGATTTTCTCAATTGACTTCTTTTTATCATCTGTTTCATTCATTAAAATATGCTTTTCAAATGAAAATAGATGTTTAAGGAGAAAACAAAAATGCTTGCAAATAAGCAAAGATTACTCATCTCCTCCTGTCCTGCAAACCTTCCGCTTATAGCCCAGTCGCTGAACTGAGCCCAGGCTCCTATCATCCAGGCTGAAAAGTTTCTCTGCCCGTGGGATTCTAGGATTATTCTGAGCTCCTAGCCTGGCAAAAGGCCAGTTTGCAATTTGGTGACTTGAAAAAAAAAGTTGTCACATGCAGTCACATCAAACTCTCTCTCCCTGTGGAAAAGAGAAAAACTGAGGTGTCCATGAATTATCTCTGGGAGCCCCTAAAATCTGGGCATCAAAGCCAACCATGGCATGGTCTAGAGAAAAGCAGTGCGCCCTCTTACTTGATTTTCTAAGACCAAACCATGCCATTTTGCTGAACTGAAGTCAACCAGGTCTTTTATGGTCTTCAATGGACTTCTAGGCATATTTTCTTACACTTTCTCATTTTGAACAGTTTTAGAAAGCTGTGGTTTCAAAACTCAACCTAAAGCAAACTAAGAGTGTTGTTTCTAATTGGCTGCAAAACCCATGGGAATTGTGCCACAGGACCTATTTTCCTGAGCATCCTGCTGGTTTCCAGAGAGCAGAAGCTAGAAGTCTTACCAGGTAAATACATTCCCTTCTGAGTCTCCAGAGCAGCTCTGTCACCACCCTGCCTGCTGCAGATGAAAATGGACTGGATCGCATCAACCACATGGTCTGAAATCATCAGGGTTCAAATTTCCCAAACAGAGAATGATAAATGCTATCATAAACAGCGTTCTGCCCCTGAGTAAATGGCACTTGTGATCACAAATCAGGGGGCTGCCCCAGCAGCTTGTCAGCAGTCTGCCCAGCTATACACGCTCACAGGCAGAAAGGTCCTGTCTGCAGTGGTCCCACTGGTGCTTAAGATGCCATTTGGCATCTGCCATAGAAAATCCAAGAGCGATCCAAATATTAGGAGACCAATATAAGCTTTAAATTAAGAAAGAAAAGTAGATGAGTCAAGGGTGTTTAGTGAACTTTCCACATCTGCATTTTTTCCTGGGAGAACGGTCAGACATTAAAAGTATAACTCTTGAGCTATTGCGCATCAGAGAGGCAAGATGAGTTACGAAAACCAAAACCCTTAAGTTCCACAAATGCCACTTTGATGACTGTGGTGACTGGATTGGGAATAATACGCAAGGGTTGGTCAAAACAACAAAAGCAAGCTCTGCCTTAAAAAGCATGATCTACAAAAGAAAGGCTCAGGCGGATGAGAGATGGGGATTATAAAGAATGTCCCCTTTGATCCTTTATCACTGAAAATTGTATCCATGTAACTAACTTTCCAGGCCTCCAATAGAGCCTGACTAAAATTTCCTACTCTTAAATGAACTGATATGACCATACAGCACTTACTAAGGTAAAAGGCACAGGACAATGGCGTGTGGGGCGGGGCATCCAGGAAGACGCAACTTTCCCACAAGCTGCAAAGAGGGAAAGCAAAGAGTTGGGCCTTTTGTTTCAACTCAATTTTGTTTATTTCAAAATAAGTAAATATTTTAATATTTACAAATGGATATTAAATGAATTAATGCAGCAAATCTTATAGGGACAGGTTATATCTATCTCTCTAATCCTAGCCCAGCGTAATTCTAGGCATTTGCTTGGTTCTGATAAATGGCTGCTGGATTATTATATTTGTTTTAAAATATCAAAGTACATACTCAGGCTGTTTTTTAAATTAAATTAATATTAGAAAATTTCAATTACTTGAAACAAAGTTTAATAATGAAGGAAAAAGATGCAGCTTACCCAATTAAAAAATATCTCTTTTAAATGAACAAAAGGTAAATTTTAAGAAATGGCTAAATTTTAAAATATAATTTACTGAGGAAGATAAAACACTTTTGAAACCGAAACCAAGTCAATTACATGTGAGACAGCTCACATATATATTATATATAAATATAAGCAGTCAGTAATATATTCTTTATCTGGAAAGACTTCTAGCTTCTGCTCTGAAGACTAGAATTTTCTGACTAGAATCTCAGGAAAACAGAACTTCCAGAACAATTTCTGTGATTTTTACAGCCAGGTTAGAAACACTTTCAGATTACTTTAGATTCAAGAACCAAAGACTTCAAATACTGTTCAAATGAGAAAGTATAAGAAAATATTACTACAAGTCTATTTTAGAAAGGTAAGCCACTGAACTCCATTGAAGACCAGCTGGTTTGGTCCCAGCAAATGGCATATATGTATATATTTTTTGGGAGGGGGCCAATAAGTGGAAGACAGAGGCCCAAAGAGAAGGGAGTCCCCAAGGGCAGCTGAAATGGCCCTCTCCCTTCCTCTTGGCAAAGTTTGCAGACCAGCACTTCAGATCATGGGGGAAGAGCACACACACACACAGTTGCACTTCATTCTTCCCCATTCTGACCTGGTCAGGCAAATGGGTGCAAGAGGCTGAGGAGCATGGAAAGACTATGGAAAGACTTCTGACGAAGACAATGAATTAACTTTTGTAACCTTTGTTGGTCTCTTAAAGTTTGTCATTCATCTTTCTTAATATCTTGGGCAATAATGCGGCCATGAGTCCTCTCTAATTTCAACAAGTGTCAAGCAGAAATAAAAGGCATTGACTATTTTTTCTTAAGTATACCCAGGGAAACCAATAACGAACGAGCTGTCTCACATACAATTGACTTCATTTCAAATTGTTTTGTGTTCCTCAGTAAATCTAACTTTGAAATCTAGCCATTTCTTAAAATTTATATTTTGTTCATTTAAAAGACTTATTTTATAATTGGGCAAGCTTCATCTTTTTCCTTCATTATTATACTTTATTTCACATAATTAAGGTTTTCTAACATTAACTTCATAAAAATTAAACAGCCTAATTGCATAAGTGTAGTTTCCTTCTCCCTTCCTGGCCCTTTCTTTGGATTCTAAACTGATTTTCTCTTAAAGAACAGTAAAAGGCTCAACTGAAAAGACAGCAAGCATTGGTGATCTCTTCTATCCCTTTCCCCCCCTCTTCTCTCCACTTGGGTCATAAGTAGCTTCCAATATGTTGTCTTACAGGTTAGCTACCTAGAGAAGCCTGTTGAATATGGTCTAGCTCAGCTCACATTAAGATTTTAGCTTGTACGTAGTGCCCTGAGTGTTCTCTGGGCATCGGAATCCTTCATTCACTCAATCAGTGAGTTGTCTTTTCACACAAATAGCTTCCAAGCAGGCCTTCAGGAAGACTACAGGAATTTTAAAGAGCCACAAGTGGACCAGGACCAAGGTAATCGAAAGATTGCTTTTGGCAGTGCTCCTCCCTGAACCCGTTTCAGCTCCCCTCCTCCCTCGTCTGGTCTCCCAAAGGCAAT